ATTTCTCTTATCGCTGACCTGTTTTACTTCTACCTCGTTCCCATATAAGTGTACTGGCCCGACGAGAATTTATCGAAAGCTACGTATGCTCGCCACCTCGTCCTCAGATCCACATTTCCTTGATTTACGTAGGCGACTGTATATGGAAGTAGGATTTCGAGATAGCTTTGTTTGTGGATGATACACAGGTCAAGAATATACAATGCCATGAAATGTTAACCGAAATTCTGAGAAGTTTTATTTATTAGGAATGATTACTTGAATGGGGTTGAAATACTGATCATCAGTTAGTATGATCTCAAGGCAGTTCATTCACGCCAGGAAGCCGGCTTTTGAATACGCCTCTTTCCAGCGGACTACAAAAGCTCGCTTGGCATAAAATGATCGCCTAAGTAGTATTCGCTTTCTTTTATTAACTTTCGGTGCTCATATAAATTATAATACATTTTATAGAAAGAGCGTACAAAAATATCCCATCTGGTACTTATTTGGCAGCAAAGCACGCGTTATTCGAATCATATACTCGAAGAAAGAGTATTTATTGGTTTAAGAAATTTGTAATTGTAAATTTTTAGGGTCGTACTATTTTCATGAAATTACCACCTTATCTACCCATTTATTAATGTTCCTTATGAAGTATCTAACTTAAGTCACATTTACTTCAACATTTACTGAGCCCACCGTGATATTTTCCTAATGACACAGTGGAATTTATGATTTTTCCTATGTAGAAAGTATACAGCCTATAGACTGAAAACCCTAAGCGAAAATGCTACTACATACCGGGGTCATAATTTATCGGAAATCGAAAACGTGTAAGATTTAAATACACCCTTCCTTTGAGAATAAACTGTTAAGAAGACGCAAGCTCCCACCAAGTAGGTATATGAAATGGGATTCTTGTACATGCTCTCTGTTAAATATATTTTAGTCTACAAGGACATCGAAAGTGAATAAAAGTGCATACAACTTAAGTAGTCATTTTTTTCACCGAATTTGGTTCTTTGCAGACGACCGGACCAAAGCTCATTCAAAAACCGGAATCCTGGAGGGACTGCAGTACCTGAAGATTATACAACATCGCGATCAATATTACAGCCTCAGAATGTCTGTACGTAGATGCCGGAGTGTGAAGGTCACGCATTCACTGTTGGGCTGCGAGTAGGAATACAGACCGTCAGACGAGCTCCTGCGTTTTCTGAGGATCTCTATTCCAAGATATGCGGAATTTTGATGATGTCGCACTCAGATTCCATGGTCCAAGCTTCAAGATCTTGGACCGTTTATGATCCGGATTAAACTATCAGAACCTATCAACTATCTTATGAGCTACAGGCAACCGCACGGAGGAACTACAGGAGCATTGAGAAATGCTGTCAGAGAAGGTGACAATCTGACATTTGACGACTTCATCCAATTATACACTGCAAACAAAGTTCGAAACAGAAGTAGTCAACGCAGAAAGACATGTTTTGTTCGGCTTGGTTAGCGCAAAAACGGCAGCCATACAGGAGCTATTTACGTGACAGCATCAGATTACCCAAGTTACCATTTTTATTAACAACTGAAATTCCAGATGCCTCAGTAGATGATCACAGGGGATACTCTAAGGCGCAATGGATGATTCCAAAGTGAGACTGAACCCTTTCTTCGGGGCGAGACGATGGTAGCACTGTTTAATTCCTCGGTTAATACCTTCGCTGAAGCAATGCTCTAGCGGTTAGAAAAAAAGACAATTCTGTCTCATACGTTTACGCGCGACAAACAGAAGCCAATAAAACCTAGTCGGAGAGCATGAATATGACTGGGTCAATAAGGTAAAATA